GGGGGGTCGCTGCCTACACATCGCCTGCGGGCCCGGGGGCCGACGGGTCCCTGCGCTCAGGGCGCATCCTCAGCAGGCTCGGGCCAGTTGCGGAGGGGCGGCAGCTTCCTTTTCCAAAAGCCAGGGGGTCTTCCGGAGTGCCGGCGCCCGTGGGTGGGGGGGCTGCCCCATCGGCACTGGGAGGGGACCGAGGGAGTCGTGTCCCCCACCCCAGCAGCCCAAGCTGGAGGCTGCTCGAGCCTCTCTCTCTCTCTCTCTCTCTCTCTCTCTCTCTCTCTCTCTCTCTCTTTAAAATCTAGCTAAAGGTTTGTCAATTTCTCTCTCTCCCTCTCTCTCTCTGAGAAGGGCTGCCACCCAGAAGGCCCTGAGCAGTGGGTAAAGGGGTGGGTGGGTGGATTTGGGGAGATGGGGAGGGGGAGCATCTGAGTGCACAACCAGAGCCTGAATACCAGCTGACACATCGCCGCCTCCACCCTCATGGGCCCTGCTTTGGAGAAGCCAAGCCAGCTCTGCAGGGAGTACAGAGTAGGGGGGCCAGCTCCGGGGTTCTCTGCCTCCCGGGCAAGCCTGGGAGGAGGTGTGGGAGGACTCTGGCAAGGCCCAGCAGAGGCCACTGAATTGGCACCAGTGGACAGCCCCGGGCTCTCTGGCCCCTGGAGAGTTTCTGCCAGGCTGCTTCCCGGGGCTGTGGAGGGAGGGTTTTCACTGTCTTCCAGGAGAGCTTGTGGTTTGGGGTTCTCCTGGCCCCTGGCCTCCTCAGGGTGGGTTCTTACTGCAGTGCTCAAGCAGCCAGCACTGTCATTTGGAAGCATCAAGAACAAAGGGCCTGAGGAGAGAGAGAGAGAGAGATCGGTCCAAGGTCACAGAGGGTGTCAGAAACTGGAGCAAGAGGTGGCACCTGGGTGCCCCACCTCACTGCCACCCCTTAACCTGACCCCACCTTAACCCTACCCGGCTGTGCCCCTCTAACCCTGGAGAGAGGGCTGTGTTACTGAGTAACATTTAGAAGCTTGTGACAAAGCAAGCAGAGGGTGCAGAATTAAGGACCGACGTCTGCTACACTAATAGCAGTGATATTTATTGAACACCTGTTTTATGTCAGCTTCCACATTGAGCCCATGGAGTTGTCTTGGTCTTTGCCAAGGTCGTGCAGCTCAGGAAGCGTCTGATCGGGCGGCTGGGCTGTGGGTCCCCAGGGGGTGGAGCTCTGTGGCTGCCTGACCAGCTGCACAACCAGGGCGTGGCCCCTGTCACCCCAGGGCCTCAGTTTCCCCACTTATGAAATGTCACCTTGGGCAAACACTTTTCCAAGGCCAAGTCCAAACAGGCCCACGGAGGGTCTGTACCCACACCTGCTCTCTGATCCCGCCCTGGCCTCCAGGACAGCAAACGAAAAGTCACCCTGGTCTCCAGCTCCCTGGCTCAGAGCATGGAGCAGAAGGAAGCTTTCAGAGAAAGCGCAGAGCTGTGCTCTCAGAACCTTCAGCCTGCAGAAGGGCAGAGCCCAGGGTGAGTGATCACCAGGTGGCCCTTGGCCTGCTTTCCGCCCAGACAGGGTCATCAATCCAGGGAAAGCCCCGCTCCTCCATCCTCCCTGCGCCAGTGCCATCAGCATCAGCCAACAAGATGAGTAGGAGGGTGCTCTCGGCTGTCAGATAAGGAAGGACACCGACACGGAGGAGGGACTGGGTGTGTCCTCCTGACAGTCAGGCTGGGCCGAGTGACCCCGTGGGTGCAAAACTAGTCACACTATTTATTAGTTTTTGAATGTTTCTCCAGCAACCTCCACTCTCACACTCCCTGACTCTGCAGGGAGCAGAGGCCAACAAGGAAGTCAGGGGACAGTGGAAAGAACTCCACAAGGGAGCCAGGACCATGGGATTTTCTGGGCTCAGCCCCTAAGGAGCTGTGTGTCCTGGGGGGAGATCTCTTCCTTGCTCCCAGCCTCAGTTTCTCCAGCACTCCATGAAGCTTCCAGAGGTGGATCCCTTTCTTTCCTTCTTTCTGTACCGGGATTTGAACTCAGGTCCTTGTGCTTGCAAGGCAGGCGCTGGAACCACTGAGCTAAATCCCCAGGCCCTGGAGTCCCTTTCAGGGGAACAATACAATGCTGCTTTTCCAGACGGGGGGACAAGCAGGATTTCGGCCACGGAGGGACCAGGTGGCCAGGGGATGTTCGTTTTTGAAAACCATTAAGCTTCCTTCGGACAGATGACCTTTCCCTGGCAGTGAAAAGACACAGAGCAGCAGGGTCAGGAAAGTGTTAATGACTCTCCCAAAAAAATCATCACTGGCTCCCTCTCGCCAGCAGCCTAATCATCTTCTGCACTGGTGGGATTTTGGCCCTACAGCGCAGTTCTGATTGGAATTGTGTTTGTGGGATCTACAGTCAAAAAGCGTCTGCAGAACAATGTGTTTAATTTTACTCCACCTGTTTTGTTTTTTGTTTTTTAAAGAACTGTGTGTAATCGTATATACACCTATCACATATGTTACATATATACACACACCCTCCAAAGCTCTATGCCAGAGTGTGAACAGGGACACCAGGCTTCATGACACACGTTCCTTCTGCGCTGTTCAACCCGTACACAGTGAGGAGACCCGCACAGGACAGTTAAATCACGGAAAACGATGCCATCAAACGCAGCAGTGATCCACCGGCTTTGCAGTGAGTGGTAACACGCAAGCTGGATGACCGGTAGCCCAGCCCTCTGGGGACTTGGCGGAGACTGCGAAGGCTAAAGCTGAGAGACAGAAGGACAGGCACATCAAAGGGGTTCGTGCCGACCCTTAAAGGAAGCACAGACTCTAAAGCTACCGCTGCCACCTTCTCCCCTCAGGCCTGGCTCACTCTGCTCATTTCTGCCAGGCCAAGATTTGGATTCTTCAAGAAACTCTTTGTCCCTGTGACCTTGAGCAGTTGAGATGCAGCTGTAAGGATGTGGTAAGAGCCCATGCACTGCCCAGGCCCATCTGGGGCTTCTAGATGTCCCTGGGCCCCTCCTTTTACAGACAAGGGACAGGGGGAGAGGGCCCAAGCCCCCAGCCAGCGTGCTCCCCAAGGCGACAGCTCCAGGCAGCACAGAGGCTGCAAGAAGCACTCAGCTCCTCCCTGCCAGTTCTCAGCTCTAATCTCTAGACCATACGCCCATTAATTATTATTACCGTATTAATCATACATGTGATTAATTCAGTAATGGTGATTCATAATTGATTGCATTTTATACGGTGCCTTTCATCCACACATCCCCCAAGATGTGCACTGCCTGCAACCAGAGACACAGCGAGCAGGACGTGTCCTTTGCTTGTCTGCATTTTGTTGGATCAGCTTCTCGTCACAGAGGCAGGGGCTGACTGATGGTCTGCATGGGCTGCGTGCCCTTTCCGGGAGCCTTGCCCCATGGCGGCCCTGCCGGGGAGTCCCGGGGACCCAAGCGGACCCTGTGGCAGGGGAGGCTGGTCCCCGGGCGAAGCCAGCCTGACGCTGTGGGGAGTCCAACTCCCGGCTCAGAGTGATGCCAAGCAGCTGTGTGATGACAAGGATGCTACTTCCGACTCTGCCTCGGTTTATCCAGGTGAAAAGCAGGATCCAGAGGAGTCTCGCTCTTCCCAGGGTTATAAACGTTGAACGAAACCATGGCCCTCGGTGTGGAACCTGTTTCACGGTGCTCAACGAAGACGAAGGAGCGATTTGCCAGAGCCTGCGGCCTGGTTCCACCCGTGGCACCTTGCTGACCAGATCGGTCTCTTTCCTTCTCTGGGCCTCAGTTTGCTCCGCTGTGAAGTGGGAAGATGGGTGAACCTGGAGGGTCCTTCCGGATCCCAAATGAGTGACTGCGATGCCCTGGGGTCTGGGGCTTGGGGTTGAGCAGCCACCGACTCACA